TTCCTTCCATGTTTGGAGGGAACAAAGGGAAAGGCAAGTACAGATGGTAGACTCCCCTAACGACTGTCAGCAGACGTTCACTTAACTTGCCTCGCACAATGTTGCCAAACCTCTTGTTGAAAAAACCTTTAAATTTATTTGTTTAGATACTCCTTCATATCAGTAAACAGGTGTCATGAAAAATGGCGGCGTCCGGAAATTGGGCAAGAATTCGGCCGAGTGTTAGTAACGTTATGGCGAACTTGAAACAAGTCTCAGAAAACCCAAAACATGTAAGTGGTTCTCTAAAGTTTATTCATTCTAAAAAATTATTATCTCAACTTACACGTACCTCCACACAAGTTTGTTAAAAAATTTTTCGCATTTTTGGGCATAGGACCTTAGGCCAACAGGTATTTAGAGTCCATTTCGCACTCAAGACTAAAAGTCGGCAAGTCAAGCCAAAAAACAGTTCACTGGAACTTGAGTAAAATTGGAGTTTTGAATCAAAATATTTGATGAAATGGAGTTAGATGAAATTTCCCTTATCATGGAATTTGAGGTAAAAGTGTTGCTCCAGCAAGGCACGAGAGGAAAAAATTCAAAACTGTGCCACATTAGGGCACATCAGTAATAGAACAAGGGGATTAGATATCAAATTATGCACAAAGACAACATTACAAAATCAAATGACTTCAGACTATCACTGGATAATGAAATCTAAGTTTTTGTGACAAATAGACCTAAAGCAAAATTTCTACAAGACTGGGAGTGTCAGCAGTATAAAATTTATTTGTATGTGCTGTCCAGCTTTGTTCCCCCAACCGGTTCAGTATTTGGCAGTGAACCTGGTACTCAAAAATACTTGACTGCAACACTTCTACTGGCCTTGTACTAGATGTAGACCTGCATCATTTGTACATGCTTGCAGACTGGATGTCCTCTCCTGTGTGTTTGCATAATAGCTTGACACACCCGTTATTTTGGACACACATGAAATCTGAAGGAGCATTCTCCACCACAAAATATCATAGAACAGCTACCTTTGGGAAACCAGATTGCTGGGCAAATGGGTAATGTACTGGTATTTAAAACATTCAGAAAAAGGTGCAGGGATGACAAATTCTGGGTATGATCATAGCCAGGGTGTGTTGGGGTGGAATGGATTGGAGCTGTGAAAGTGGTCAGAAAAGTCAAAAGAAACTGACATTGCACTGGATTCTGTGTAGAATTCAGAAAGTGAAATTATCATTTACATCTGAAAGCCAACTTACTAAATTGCAAAACCATATTGTTCACCTGCTCCAATACTCTTTCCACAGAATGATTATGCTTATTATTCTGTCCCCTTTCCCAGCACATTGTTTCTAGTACTTCTGCCAAGACAGAAAACGGTGTCATGCTTTAAGGGAAATCGCGACATACAGTGCCATCGGACAAGCGACAGTCCTAATAGATCAGTTATCATTGGCCAGAAGTAACAACTCGCATGACAAAAAGAAACTGCAGGGTGTAGGCTTAATTCCATACCAGGATATTTACTGTCACCCCAAGGGATGATGGAGAAGTATCATTGTGTGTGGTTTGAAATGCAAGTAACAGAGACCCAAAACTTAGGACTAAAAAAACGTATACCGTTACTTTTCCCAACTTTGTTACCATGAACCAGTGGCTTCAAATGAAATCCCTGAATCCCCTTCTGATATAGGGGCTTACATTGGCACCCACGAAAACTTGTATGAGGCCTACATGCTACAGGTTTATAACAGAGAAAACGAAAGACAGGGACACATTCTTTCCACCCAAAACGTGATGGAATTTATTATTCCACAGAAGATGGAAGTTACATAATGAAAACAAAGATGTATAAAGTAACTTTGCGGTGGAAAAGAGAGGAAAAGATTTTAGTCATTTCATAGAATTGAACTGATTGGAGACTTAACCCTAAAAGAGACGGATTATTTTGGCCCATCTCACAGCCGGGGGGGGGGCAAGAACTTGGCTGTGCCTTCCTCGATTTTTTTGAAACTTCACATGCCTGTAAAGACACTCCTTGTCATAACAACTATTGTGTAGTTTTGCTGTTACAATCCTTTGAAGTTCACCGCTACATACATGCCAGCCTGCATGCATTGAGCACTGCTGCTGCTGACCTGTCTCAAAAACACGTGCACTGCGCAAGAATAGTATGTCCGATTTTCACAAAATATGTGTCAAAATGACCGCAAAGAGTTACTCTAAAATCTCCTTAAGGCTCAACTCTTGAAACAAATGCACTGTGCCGATATCGGGAAAAATGTTGAGAGGGTGGATTCTGCCCTCCACCCCCCGGCTCTTTCAGGGTTAAATCGGACACTTTCTTTTGACATTATGGCCAAGTGGAAGTAACACAAGGAAAAATATGCCAGTGACGTCTTGCTGCAACTGCAGAATTACATGAATTAATATGTAACACTATCTAGCTAGTTTCTTGCTTTGAACATGTCTTCACATGTATCACATCACCAAAGCACCTTGTTTACTGGTACCTCAGGCTAATTTTCCTTAATTTATATTCTGGACTTAATTGAATATCAGTGATTTTCTGGTCTTTTCTTGTCGAATGCCCTTATTAAAATTACTAGTGATTATTTCTGGGCCTCTCTTTAGGGACAAAACTTTTCACAAGATTCCTTGTTCTAACTCTCCTCATTCTGGGTTAGGAATTACTTTTGAGTCTTTACCTGTGCCTTCTATCTCAAAATGAGAGAGGGAACTGTTGCATTTACGTTGAATGGGAAATAAAGCGTTTTCGGTGGCATTTTCTTTTTTTCATTTTTTAACCAGATTAGAAATCTTACATTTAGTTACATAATGCAATAATCGAAAACACTTTTCTCTTCAACTTTTGGGACCTTATTCCTTTCTCACGTAAAAAAAAATACACCAATGGAAGTCCAAAATGTCTTGCTTTGTTGAATGCGGAAACATTAACCCCTCAGTTTGAAAATGCAGGTGTCATTCCATGACAGAAGGTTGCAAAAATATTAGATGAAGCCTGGATTAGAACTGACTGGCTATCCATATCTGTGCAGTAAGCTGTGTTGAATTTCCTTTTTTTCCCCTTGTTTGATCCACATCAGTTTTCACTTTCGGTCTTGCTACTCTCACTGGTGGAGGACGATTCTGATGATGGTTTCTCCGTTTCAGATGTGGGGGACGACGATGCCTAATCGAATGAAAGAATGGTTATAAATGCTAAATGATCTTGGAAATGCAGACATACAAAACAGAACAGTGCAAGATGCAAACTTCAAGTCAAGACAGCAACATAAAACAAATTGATAGCAGCGTCTCTCTTGATAGCTATGTATTTGAAACTTACAGTTGTCCTTTTATAAATTCTACATCATTTGCCTTTGAGAAAGATTTGGCTGGAACAAAGATGCTCTCAAGTCTATTTATCAAGCTGTACACTTTTGGGTATTTCCTTTCAAAAGATCAGTATACACCTGAACATCCCGCTGTACCTTCTCATCATCTCGACTTTCATCTTTCTGTTCCTTGACTGAGGCTCCCTGTGACTCTACTGAAGTAGATGACACCCCATCATCTATAAACGAGAGTGGATACAGATTCTCATTCATACATTTGGTAAAAAAAGTAACAAACTATTTACATATAACATAAACATTAAAAAATCCCTCCCCCCAAGAAAATAATTCCCATGAATTTTTATACACACAAAAAGACTACCACACCAACCTTGTTGCCTCTGTTTCCTCAATTCTGCCTGACACTCTTCAAAGACTGTCTTGAAGCGCTGGGTGGTCCCGGCTAGCTTGAACCGCACGGCCAGCTCCTCCATTTGGGGATCGCCCTCCGATGCGTCCATGGCCTGCCAAACCAGGGAATTCTCAGACCCTGCATTGGGCTCCAAGGTCATTTCCGCGGTGATGTAGTGGTTGGCACAGAGCTGCAGAGAGCAACCACAAAGGATTTCATGTAAATTCTCATCCACTTCCAAAATCTTACAAGATGGCATGATTGCTGCTGTAGCTGTGATGTTCAAACTTGTAATTCTTAAACAAAAAACAAACTCTAATCATGAAGTTCCATTCTCTCCTACTCACTTTCAAGACCTGGTCCCTCCTCATAATGACACGATAACGCTTCATCGTAGTGTTCCCCAGGATCTTGATATCCCCAATACCACGATCCTTCCATTGAGCTGCGGCCTTGTCAAAGCGATAAAGCTTTGCCCGTGAGCAGAAGAGTTCATTTTCATCTTCCTCTCCAGTTATTACATCTACCTGTTATTAAATAAACGACACCTTCTCAACCAAACAGACTTCAACAGAATCACAAGAGCTGTTTGAATGACTGCATTACAATAACCAGTTGTTTAAGTGTCACATTTAGGATGATTGTCAAATTTGTTTCAAGTTCACAATCAACATCTCGTTTCTGAGTGGTATCCTGGGAAAACTAACATCTTTATCCAAGGTTCGATAAAGTGGATTAAAAGTGACACCCCACCTGCTCGGGGAGCTGGGCGACTGGCTCAAAGTGGATATCGTCACGTTCCTCTGAGATGCTGTCATCCTTGCTGCTCTCGACTGCATCCTCATCTTTGCTCGTGGAAGATGTTGAAGTTGTGGGGGTCTCCACTCCCAACTTCAGCTCCTTGGCATGGCTCGTGATGGAGGTTCGTAACAGCTCTGAGAAAGCCTTGGAGATGTTGGGATCACAGGATTTCACAATCGGGTGGTTTGCATCTCCTGTAGAAATACTTCAACTTCATTAATCAAGTATTTAGTAAAAAGATGATGTCCACTTTCATTTCCATTGGTACCAGGAAGGTGTCAATGACCTTTCCTATCTGCCTCAAAATGTGAAATTCTCAAAAGCCTGCTTTTTTGTAGTCCTAGACCAAAAAAGTCTGCACACAAGTAAAAGGAATGCAACTCATTCATGACAGCCAAGTCTCTAAATCAATCGTTAGCCTTTAAGAGGTTGGACTTACCTTCTTCCTCTGCCTCTTGTCTCTCTTCCTCTTCATCGTGTTCCCCTTGGTCTTCACCCTTTTCCTCTTCAGTCTCATCAACATCTTCATAGTCATCATCATCGTCGTCGTCGTCCACATCAGTATAGTTGTCATCGTCATCATCATCGTGATCATCGTCGCCTTCCTTTTCATCAGTATCCTCTCTCCTGTCACCTTCACATTCCTGTTCACCAATATCCCCTCTCCCTCTGCTGTCATCTTGAACTTCTTCTCTGTCTTGCTTGTCTGTTCCTTCATCACCACCCTCCTCTTTCTCATCTTTCTTTCCATCCGTCTGTCCTCCCTTTTCTGCCATAATGTCTTTTTTGGCGGCATCTACAGCATTCTTGAACTGCAGAGCTACCTCTTCTGTTTTGAACCTCACGGCAAGCTGTTCCATTTGGGCCTCCTCATCTGAGGCATCCATTGCCATCCAAACCCAGGATTTTGTTGATCCAGCATTTGACTGCAGACTGAGTTCAGGTGTGACATAGTGATTGGCGCACAACTTTAAGACTTGCTCCCGGCGCATGATAATGCGGTATTTTTGGTTGGCCGGGTTATACAAGAGCTTTATGTCCCCAAGTCCGCGCTCTTTCCACTGAGAGGATGCTTTGTCAAAGCGGTAGAGCTTTGCTCGGTGGCTGAATTTAATTGTCTCATCCTCCTCGCCAGTTTTAACCTCAAAGCCCTCTGGCAGTTTCACCACAGGTTCAAAATGAATGTGATCACCCTCATCATCCTTGTAATACTCACTGTCCCCACTCTTGTTGAGTCCCGGAGATTTGATTAGGCCAGGAGACTTGGGCTTGACCGGCGATTTTTCAGAACTCATCTGGAGCGACTTGCTGACATCCAGGCGGAAGGAGAAGGTCGCACCCTCAGACTTGACCATGTCTGCAAATGAATAGCCCTTGGGTTTTGCCTCACTTGGTTTGGTGGTAGGAGGTGTGATTGACTTGGCTCCAAAGACAAACCCCGTTGACGGCTTGACTGGGGTCCCCTGAACTTCTGAGGAAGCTGCAGCTTCTGTAGCAGGAGCTCCAGCTCCATCAGTCTTCGGTGGGGTCAGCCCACTGGCACCAAACGTAAAGCCTGCACTGGGACTTTTCACTGCTGTCATTGGTTGGGTGGCTTTATCTCCTGCTCCACCAAAATCAAACTTTTGAAAGCCACTTCCAAACGTAAACTTGGTGGTAGGAGCTATTGTAGCCTGAGTGCTTTCTTCAGCAGTTGTCAATGCGGTGTCGGATTGTGTGGCTCCAAACTTCACAGTTTCAGTGGAAAGTGAAGAGCTAGGTGTTGAGAGGGAGGTTGCACTCGGAAACGCAACAGGTCCGCCAAATTTGAAACCAGATGGTTTGGCAGTACCATCTGAGGACTGCGAGCTTCCAAATGCAAAACTACTGCCAGAAGCAGAACCAAAGGTAAATTTGAGATTGCCTCCCGAGCTGCTTGCTCCTAGGAGATTGACCGTGCCACTTGCTGGGGCTGTTGTGGAGGACACAGCCCCAGGTTTGGGTGTCATGCAGGCCACACAGGCCATATCATCTTTCCCATTGTTCAGCCAGCAAATCTCGCACTTCCAGTCACCTTCCTTGGGCTGAAACTTGGCAAAATTATCTTCAGTTGTTGCCTGAAAATACACACGTAATAAGCAATGAACAATGAGGACAGAACCTTTTCCTCAGTTATCTACTCAGAGAGACCTGCACCAGATCTCAGATAGTCTGATGTATTTCCTTGCTGTCTGTGGCAACATTAGTCAATATGCATCCTCCTTTGATTCTAGGGGTGTGTGCATTGAATCTGGGAAGTCTTTTAAATTCTATCAGCTTACTTCCTCGTCTACTCACCTCTTGATCTGGTTCATCACTTGCTCCTGCAGAATCTTCTTTCTTGATTTCCTCCCCTTCTGGTTTGGTCTCACCCACTTCCTCCTGGGGCCCACTTGCCTCGGTCTTCTGCTCCATCTCTCTCTCTTCCTCTTCTTTTCTGACCGCCTGGAGTTCCTCCAGCCTGCGCTTGAACTCGTGGGCCTGCTCCGGGGTCTTGAACTTGATGGCAAGCTGCTCGTGGCAAGGTTCATCCTCGGAGTAATCAACGGCATGCCACACCCAGGATCGGTCCGAGGAATGCAGGGGGTCTAGCTTCATGTCAGTGGTGATCCGGTGGTTGGCACACAACTTCAATACCTGTTATACCATAGAAATGGAACATTGTTCCGGGTAATTCAACAATTGATGCTCTTGGAAACAATGCGTAAGTGGAAATGTCAATCCCATCGTTTTAAGTGGAGTCATGTCTCACTTTTGAGTCTCGTACCACTGATGAAAGTTGATGCAATGATGAAACATGCCGCAAGCACATCATAAGTACCATTATATCAGTTTGCACTTTAAACAGTGGCTGTCATAATGCCATCTTGGGAGCCATTTTGAGTATGCTTCACAATATACATACAACAAGTGTCCAACTGTAGCAACCACTGTGTATACTCAGGTAACACAAACTGTGTAAACAAATTCATCCATCAGTGTCCGGCTTTTAAAATCACGATGGAGCTCTGTACTGGTTATGCCGCACTTTGCTTACGTGTGCTTTCCTTGTTCCATAAGAAAGTGCGCATTTAAACAAACCCTGATGTCATCATTAAATAGGCCTATTCGACTATGCTTTTGCTGTTACTAATCCTACAGCAAGGGACACTATGACAATGACAGCCCTCACCTGCTCACGTCGCATGATCAGACGCAGGACACCGCTATGTTTGTGGCGCAGCAGCTTCACGTCGCCAATCCCTCGCTCCTTCCACACGCCCAGTTCTTTGGCGTAGCGATAGAGACGGGCTCTCTGTTTGTACATCACCTCTTCCTCCTCCTCTCCCGTTTTGACTTGTGAGAGCTGCAAGAAATAGTCCCGCACAATATATAGGGCATACCATGTGTAGGCGTGCAAATTTGAGAATAGTTTCCTCTTGCTGAAAAAGCCCAGTAATGAAGAGTGCTGCTCACACACACACACACAGGTAAAACAGTGATACTAACCAAGAACAAGTCACCGTGGGCTTCTTATCGTTGAGAAATTGCAGAGAATACATAAAAGGCTTTTGAATGATTTTTAATTAACCGATATACTTGACTGCCACAAGAGACCAAAACAAACATATTCATAATGAAACAAGGTAATTTTAAATGCATGAGACTTTGTACAGCGTTTTTCTAATTTGCCACTACATGCATGAAAACTAAAAAAAGAAAGAAAACCAGCTCACAGTTCCTTGATTGGCACAGCATTATACCTTCAATTTCACTTTCTTTTCTATAGTCAATTCTCTCTTTGTGCAATAATGAACATTAAGACGGACTTTTCTTTCCGTACCTCAGGCAATGACATGATTGGCTCATAGTGGGGGTCGTGCTCGTGGCTTTCCTGTTCCCCGTCTTCCTCCTTGGTGGCTGCACCGAAGACGGGAGCCCCAGCTTGGGCAAAGGTAAAGCCTTTTCCTGCCACTGAATTGATACGAAGTTCTGACAGTGTTGTGGTTATGGTTTGGATACTGTGTTTGGTTCAGACAGCACCCTCAACAGCAACGCACCGGGCCTGTGGCCTATGACAGATTACAGGGTGCAAGCTGAAAACCTGAGAACGGTGCAAGTTAAAGAAGGTAACACTTTAGAAATATATTGATAATTTGGAAAGCGGATGAATTGACAAATGCAGAAAGAGGTTTTCCGTGATGTGATGACTATCCGTCATTTTGTCGCCGGTGAAAACTGGCAAGTTTGTGGGTATTGCATGTAACTATGTAAAAAGAGCAAAGTTCACTTCATCCACTCCAACAGTTTCTCAGTTTTGACATGACGCAAACCCTGGAATTAGATTCAACACCGGTGAAATATCTCAGAATGCTACTTGCACACTCTTTTCCCAGACATTCATCAAATGTTTACCTCCAGCAAAGGTTCCTTGCTTGCCTGCCCTGATGCTGGCAAAACTCAAACTTGATGATCCGCCAGCTGCACCAAATACAGAGGATGAGGGCAAGCTACTTTCTGCAGGAGGGAAAAGATATCACTGGATAGTTAGGAACCAGAAAATGAAGTGAGTAAGAATAAAAAATGAAAGTATAGGTTGTGCAGTCGGAAGTTGCAAACATGAGTTGCTTTGAAACTGAATCCTTTTTGTCAATGCAACGCTGAAAGTGCTTGTCATTTCTGGTCAAAGGCTAATTTCAGACAGTTGTTAGGCACTCGCATTTACGGAAAAAATTTTGGTTCAGCAAAACAGGTCTCCCTGTCCAAATTGGCGTGTTACGTCTACTGCTTCGAACAGGTGCCCCTTCATAAAGAACTAACAGTCCAACATCACTTCTTTGAGACAAACAGGTCAAGAGGTCTTTGTTGAGAAAAGTGTGATGCCTTGAAACAGCCATGCAAAGGTTGGCTAGTGATGCACCATCTCGACAGCTGGGATGGCTAAACTGCACTCATACCTGGCATTCCAGTTGTGATTGGTGTTTCCTTGGTCTTCCCACTGAGTGCCATCTTAGACATATCACCAAATGTCATCTGGGCTGATGCAGTACTGCCAAAGACTGGTGCTTGTGACTGTGAACTCTCAGCTGCTTCAGGCTGGAATGACTTGGCTGCTGTCGTGCAAATTGAAACGATAAAGGGACATCATAGCCAAATGGAAACAAATGTTAAAACTGGTTGAAAATGGGTACAGACCAACTCCTTGGTATAACTATAACGATGCAATTAGCTACTTTTGCCCAATATGGTTCCGAAAGAATACAAAGCTGCTGACTGATATGCAGAGACAGTTTGGCAAACTTACGACTCTTTCCTCTTGCAGCAAGATCCTCAGGGTCACATCCAGGACACCCAGGGCAGGGTGGTTCATCCTCGTAGAGAAAGAAGGTGGGTGGGAGGAAGAGCGCTTCAGCCCTTGCCCGCTGATCAGCAGTGGGTATCTTTTCAGACACAAAGATCACATCATCTTCACCAAAATCATCTAAACATTGGACAGAGGAAACAAATAGGTCCAAATCAGACACGGTAAGGACGTGGTGTTAAAGGGAATTGACTGTTCACATCAGACTTCCACCATACAGTGGCAAATGCTATTTGTTCAGTTTGTGCAATAAAGTGTACACTCACTTTCTTTGTATTGACTCCCAGGTTTAGTGACACTCTCGAAGGTTGATGCTTGGCTTGTGGTTGCATTGCTAAAAGTGAAACCTGATGACACTGTGCCTGAGCCAGTGGAAAGCTGGCCAAAACTGAACCCAGCAAAAGGGGACTGGCTGGTCGTTTTATCTGGTGCAACTGCTGGAGTCACCGGTGATGGTTTGGGTTGGGTAAAGTTAGCAGGTGAGGGCTGGCTGGACTTGAATGAGAAGTTGGCCAATGCTGCGGAGGCAGAAGTAGTGGCAGAAGTGGGATCATGTTCAGAGGAAGCCTGTCTCTGGTTTAAGCCAAAGACTGCTCCTGGTTGTGATACCTGGCTGTCATGAAAAAGTCCTAACTTGGCTGATGCGGTGCCAAGATCTTCAGACTTGACTGTGGAATTATCAGGGGCCACAACTGAGGGCTTGCTGGATGAGGATAGGAATGACTGGGGAGGGGTGCCAGCTGTGATGGAACCAATCTTGGTTGATGAAACTGCAGCTGAAGTCTCATCTTGCTTCATCAGCATGGATACCAGCAGAGGGGACTTGCTTGCCACGTCTTTGTTGCTGGCCTGCTTTGAGGGAATAGTGTCAGGAGCACTGGTGGGGCCAGAGGAAGTGACTTGCATGTCATCATTTGGCTCTGAACTCTCCTGGTCAGCAACACCCCTTGTGAAAGTGCTGGGCTGCAAGACAAATCGGTGAGCAAATTGGCTTCTGAACTCATGAACTGCGAATATTCTTTTCACAACATCTTTGAAAATAGTCTCCTGACAACTTACCAAGTGCCAGAAAGTATGACCTACTGATTCACGTGTCTACAAAAATTAAGTAAGCTGGCAGGGAAAGATAGGATGAAGATGAATATGTTGTCAGGTTTAAATAAATGATTTGGAAGTAAACTTGAAATACGCTTTAATACTTCGTAGACCTCTATAGGAATTTCTGTTTGCAAGACACAAAAGTTCGATATTGTTTCATCTTAGGTGAGAAATGGGCAGTGTGCAGATACATATTAAAGATGCACATTTTTGAGACATAGAGACAACAGCACACATAGTTTGCATTACAATCATTCCGTTGATGGCCAATCATGTAAAACTTTGCCTATTTCAACTAGTAATTCATTTTAGAAGGGCACTGGTGGTGGTTGAGTTTGTCTTTGTCCAACCACACCTGCAAGTCAGCTGCTGAAGTGCCTACAGCTACTACATCACTGGGCATCATGATTTCAGTTTCGACTTCAGTGGGTGACGTAGCATCTTCATACGGCATGTACTGCTGCAAGTTGGGTGCGTGGGCAGCGCCGTGCATTGCCGGGGTAGATGTGATGAGACTCGGGTGCAGTCCGGGGTTTTCGTAGGCTGCCGCCGCAGCAGCTGCTGCTAAGCCGTAGCTTTGTGGGGCAGCGGCGGCGTAGTAGCCGTACGCTGGGTGGTGGTACAGGCCGTGCACAGGGCTGGCTACCGGGTAAGTGGCCCCAGACAGCTGGGTGGTGGACAGGCTGGGGTTGTCAATCTTGCACTCTTGGGCTGAGATGATGATGGGGCGGTTGGAGGTGATGTCCGGGATGGGCTGAGGCTGAGGGGGTGGAGGGGGTGGGGCGGCATCTCTCTTGGCCTGGGCGGCACTCAGCTCCTGAAATTTCACCTGAACATTGCGAAATATGGAAAAAAGATTTATATTACCACAGTTGAGGCATGTTGCAGTGCTTTAAAGGAAACAATTACGATACTAAGTAGAGGATTTCATTCCAACTATAAGAGAAGGCCAGGTTTTGCCGTACAAGACAGAGATTGGCTGGCTTGAGATTCCTTATATCCTCCACCAACTGACTGCAGAGATGGGAAACAAAATCATTCCCAGGCAAGTGGCTTTTAGTGGCTTCCATAGGCTCACGTTATTCTCTACTGCAGCCACAACTTTTGGACATGCCTACTGTATCATGGTCTGCTGCTTTGTGATATCGTGGCCCTGGGCAAAAACAACGTACGTTCAGCTCCAGCACTTGCTTCATGAGGGCATTGTTGGACTCCATCAGCGTGTTCTGCTTGTCAATCAGCATCTGGTTCTGCTCCAGGATGCGACTGTGGGTGGCGGCCAGGCTGCGGAGCTGGGCATTCTCCTCCATCAGTCTGGAGTGGGACAGGTTCATGGAGCGCAGCTCGGCTGCCAGACGACGAGGGCTGGGGTCTTTTCCAGTGGACTGTTGAGGCCAGAAAAGAGAATGGTACAAGGGCTATTCTACATTTGAAATGCATAACAGCACACTTCATATGGGAATGATGTTCCCAATGATGTTTCCAACAGCAGGTGCATTCCTGCACTTTCTTGACATCTCTTTAAACTACACACTGCACTGCACAGACATGTGGAAATAGTGATAATTAGTGACTAACTGTGTTGAGATTTCTGATTAACCAGCCATTACTCCAGTTAGTTTCTAACATTCTCAAGTACAACTTCAAAAATTCACCATCTCGTGGACAGCCTGAAACATTTTCGTTCTTTCTTTAAACATCTCATCCACAAAAATAATCTGTCAAACTGAAATATCTTCAAAATGTGGTCCTGCATCAAGCTAATGTTGGGTCCTTACCTCAAGCGGAGTGACATCGCTGAGACCACTGATGTTCCTGCTATTGTCGAGTGATCTCAGGGGCGTGTCCCAAGCTGCAGCGGCTGCTTCCTCCTCTTCCAGAGCAGCCACTTCATGGCTCAGAGTGGCCTGCTTCCGATCGATCTCTTCCAAAGACGTCTGGATTTGCTCATGCAAGGGCTAGAACATCCCACGGGAAATAAAAATTCAAAAGGTACATGAACATATTAATCTGTATCGCCCATGTCAGATTCTAACAGGAGAATGAGAAGGACAGGTGTAACATAACTTGGGATGTCCTCGATGCAACACCCGAAGGTGTGTGACATAATGGGGTATCCTAGATGCAAAACCAACAGGTGTGACATAACTTGGGATATTCTAGGTGCAAGATCTGAAGGTGTGAGACATAACGTGGGATATCCCACAGGCAGGACCTAAATGTGTGTGATATAACTTGGAATATCCAGGGTACAAAATCTCGAGATATCTTGGAGGCAGGACCTGAAGGGGAGTGGTGTAATTTGGAATATCCCAGGTACAATAATTCAAGCCGTGTGACATAACTTGGGTATCTTGAAGGCAGGACCTGATGCAAGACCACAAAGTGTGCGACATAAACTTGGGATATCCCAGGTGCAAGATCTCAAAAGAAAAAATTTCGCAGAAATGTCATCAAGTAAATGTAACACATAAGGAAGAAGCCACACACAGTAGAGACAGATTAGCACGTGCAAACCAGTCTATCCACAAACCTACATTCTCAGGCTGGTCCTGGATGGCATCCATGGTAGAAAACAGTGCGTGCTTGGCCTTGTCCAGGAGGTCACCTTGCCTGCTCAGGGGGCTGGAGCTGAGCTCTAACCCTTGACCTTCAGCCTCAGACTGCGCTTTGGTCAGATACATCTAGGGAGACACAACTAATGCGTATTACCTATGAAAGGAACTAAAATGCGAGCAAACACACCCAATCAATGCCAATCTGCCAGACAGGGATCGCTTTTTGACCAAGCAGTTATTTGACCTCCGCACTGTGCTTGTGGGCAAACGTAATGGAACTCTTTGGAGGTACATAACTGTTAGGAGAATCAAGCTGCACTGCATTGGTAGGTTCTTCCCTTCATAAACCGGGCGTAAATAGTGTAATCCAATGCCCCCAGCTGATAGTTGTTGGTCAAGTCCTGCTCTCACCTGTGCTTTCAGGTAGGACCCCGTGGCCGACTTGGTCTTGTCTAGCATGGCCACGGCTTGCTGGAACTGGCCCTGTTGGAACTTGCGCTCGGCGATGGCTACAGTGCCTTCATCCTGGTACTGGCGAATCTTGTCCGTCTGGGAAAAATGGGAAGATTACTTTGATTTAGTACTAATAGTACAATAAAAAGTACTAATCGTCTCTCCAACGTCAAACAATTTCTGCTAAATCTTTCTTAATTAGGAATTCTGATACAGACTACTTCTGGCTTTCTTAGAATCGGCAAGTCTTTCAGTCAGCCTGATCCAACCCCTTCCAATGTGATGTGCCTATTTTCGTCCGAAGCCAATGACGGCAAAAAGGGTAGCTCTTGTCATCGCTACCTTGAAACATTTGAGTGAACACCACTTCTTTTAGAAGTTACTTACTGGGATGGGCCTGCTTCCATAGGGAAAGAATGGCTTCTGTTGAAATGGAACAGCCCGATTCCTGCAAGAAAATAAGATGGTACTGTTCCATTCAACAGGCTACTTCAGGCATTTTGGAAATAAGTGATTCACAAACGAATGCGCAAATGTAATTTCGTTGCAAATAAAGTAGAGAGATGAAGAGGTACGTAAGTGCTGCTATTAGATGTATTCATTGATATGTCAAGTAAATTGGAGAAAGACAATATGTCTGCCCGGTTCGTACGTGACTTCGTCACAAAGGCGGATGTGCCACGATTTGCAGGCTCTCATTGGACAATCGCTGAAGTTGCGCGTTAACTTTCTGTTCCATGGCTCCATGTAAACGGCGATCAATGCATGTAACCCGATGTGCTCTGCATGTGCAGTGGGCGTGGTTTAAACTGAAGTTACGCCACACTTACGAAGCGGGTAGAAAGTGGAGCAGTCTGTATGGCATTGTCTTGATGCTGGTTTTTGGACCTTGAGGGGGTCAGAAAGAAGTAGGTTCTCACCTGGCAAGCAGCTCAAGATGCTCCACTGCCGCCTGCCAGTACATGACACCCATCTGTTGGAAGCCAACCCACTGATCCCTATTGTGGTTTTCTTCGCTCAACTGCTGGACTTCTCGCATCTGCCAGTAATGTTGTAGTCGAGTCCATCACAAATTCAGTCACGTGTAAGGCATACCAAAAAAAAGGGGGGAATTCCAAGCTGGACAAGACTTTGCAGCATGTTTTTTTTAATTTGAACAAACAAAGGTGGGAAACTTCAAAAAATGCGTAAAAGTTGCATGCTTGACAATCAGGGGTTTTGGTACGACGGATGCACCTGTGTTTTTGCTTGAAATTGCCTACTGAAAAAAAAAATAACGTACATTAGAAAAAACCTACACATAAACAAGTGCACGGGGGATCTTCAAGGACTCATTTAATTATCAGAGTTGGACGCTATGACAGCAGTGGCTCCAAGCTTGCAAACAGGTGGTACACCGCACAAGATAGGGTGATTTAGCTAAAATGCATATGAACATTAATAACAGGTGCATAAGGGGAGCACAACTGCTGCAACCACATTGCCTTGGATTAATCTATAGAAGGCAACACAAACCTACTTTGGGCACTTTCAATACCCACAGGGCAGAGGTGTGTATAGAGAGTAGTTCCAACTTGAAACTTTGGAACCAAAATGGCTGTTCATTATCTGTCCATTGTCCATGTGCGCTGATGCCTCATCCATTTTGGTTCCAACAACTCAGACAGTTATGTCGCAACTCTCTCTGTAACCAGCTCTGCCACAGGGCATTATACATCAAGCCATGTCCAAATCAACTGGCTGCGGCAGGGAGTATCACACATGCCTATGGGGAAATGGCGACAACCACTGGCTAGTGGCCTCCATATGCCCGGTGTTATTTCAAGCCACTGCCGTAACATTCAGATACGGCCTTACTGAGTTTACAAGTGAATCCTGATTGACGGCCTTACCCGCTCCATGAATGTCCGTCCAAGGCGTATCAGCAGGGGTGTCTCCATGCCGTGGTTCATGCGACACCGCAACACCTCCATGCCTTTCTGGATGGTCAGACGCAACTTGGCTCTTTCGCCGGGGCTGGGATTTCACATAAGGCACACGTAATTAGATTTCGAAGGACACAGAAGTCACTGCATATCGTATAAAAATTATCATATTCGCTTCATCCATTTAGTCAAAACACTGCTTACAAAAATGTAACACCCTCGCAATTTTCAGAGATTTTGGGGATAGAGAAAAAGATTAAGAAATACGAAACAATAGAAGAGATAAATACGAAACACTCAGTTCTGCCAACCTAAAACCATTCTTGCTTCAAGAAATGATTCCATGTGGGCTCCATACATGGGGGCGACAAAATTTCTTCATCAGCGAGCAGATGCAAGTGTGCGCATGTTTCTGTGTCCACTGTGTAACTAATTTTCATCGGCGATGGCACTAATCCACATTTATCTTTGAAAGGCGCCAGGCACTAGCACTGCCGATTCTTCTAAACTACACTCCGTCTATGCCCCCACTCAGGGGCACGACTTGCGCCCGTACACATTACCCGGCCCGAGCCTGTAGGCACTCACCTTGCCTTGGCAGTGTACATGCTGTAGAGGGCGCTGTACCACTCCAGCTGCTGGGGGCTGCACATCCCGCGACACAGCCCCAGGGGGAGGGGCTTGGGCAGGGGCTGGACTCTGGCCTGGAGCTGCTCCTGCTGTGCCTTGGCCCCATGCACGCAGCCATACAAGAATGCCTGGGGGGGGGGAACAAAAGATTTCATTGCAGTGGCCCAATTAACACATCCATTGACCGGGACCGATTTTTTTTCCAGGGCTAAAAACACCGTCTGACGTCGGTCATTCATTTGGCTTGCTTGTCCAAACCTAGAGACACTCTGTATATGGGTCATTCCATGAGGCTGGGGCACAATTTGTGACGGTGTCCTCGTTACACCGGTAACTTTTACTGTCTGTCATGACCTGTAGAGTAGGTCATTTACTCTCTAAATAACACACCTCTGTATCCAGCCTTGCAGGATGTATAACAATGTCAATTTGGAACCCACCTGCAGGGAAATAGCTGTTCATTCTTACCGAACCCACATAACAATTGACACCGTCCCAAATGGTGCCCCAACCTCATGGAATGACCCATATTGCATTGTTTATTGGACCGTGATATACAGACCATAAGCTGATATTTGTTCACTTTTGTGCCCTAATTTCATTCTGTGTCGTCCTGTTTAAAAGTAAGCCCCTCGGCTAGCTTGTTTGTACATTTTATTTTGCCAAAGCAAAATTGTACAGGTCCAGAGAATTTTGCAAGTTCCCTTTTGTTGTGTAAAAATGTGCCTTTTTCACTGTACCAATTTCTTACCGTATATAGCACATGGTCTGGATGCATACATTCTAACATTAACAAGACCAACTATACTTGAAAGGGGCCAAGGTCGCGACTCAGGTTGCCCTGTTGCGTTCGTCACCAGGTATCTTCATGCAATATAGTGACCCCCGTAGTGAAACTATTACTGGACAGTGATGTGTACTGTTGGTTCTTTGGACAAATCCCAACTTGTCAACAAAGTCTTAACTCTGAATCTGTACAAAATTGTGACTTCAGCTGCCAAGAAAAAAAAAACCACTAGGTATTATGGTACTGTGCCACGGCTTCCCATAGAGCAATTATTATGTCCTGCTTCTCTGTGACACCCCTGACCTGAGAGGTCCCATTTACCTCCACATCCAGCAGCCGGATGTTATCCACCGCGGTGTTCTCCAGGCGCTGGGTGCTGAAGAGGAGGCGGGAGAAGACCGGCTGGAGGAACTGGCCCAGGTCCGGTAAGATGCCGTCCCCGCGGACGTCCCACTGCAGGCCCAACCACACCAGCCGCTGCAGGCTGTCTGGCTCTGCCTTGACCGACTCTAGGAAGCCAAAAAATGAACACAAAACAATTTTTTTACACGTCCTGTCAAAACCAGACAATCCTTGAGTGGAAATCATGGGAGAGAAAAAAATCGGTATCTTTGCGATGTTCAAAATCTATTATCCGGATGTGTCCGGCACCCCGTGGTTTGCCAGGTTCAACAGTGAATTAATACAATGTAACACAATTTTGTGCAGGTGCTTATTGGTCAAGCACAGCTCATCAAAACCCATGTAAAATAATACTGGATGAGCTCTACTTTTGACTAATTAGCACCTGTGCTTGCTTTTGACTAATTAGCACCCGTGCTTGCTTTTGACTAATTAGCACCTGTGCTTGCTTTTGACTAATTAGCACCCGTGCTTGCTTTTGACTAATTAGCACCCGTGCTTGCTTTTGACTAATTAGCACCTGTGCTTGCTTTTGACTAATTAGCACCTGTGCTTGCTTTTGACTAATTAGCACCTGTACTAAACTGTATTAGACTGTATTTATTCACTGGTGAGCATGAAAACGTAGACTGCCAGGTGTATCTTGGTAGTCAAGCTGATTGAAAATAAATGTCAACCATTGCTAACGTATCCCTTTTAACGATATTGTTTAATTGGCGATCTGCTCCGGGCGAAATTGAGCACTCCTGAAGTTTGTGCTAATGCACAACTGAGCATTTTTTTTGGGGGGGGGTCCCAGGGAACCTCCTTGCCTATAAACAAATATACCTTTTTTATATAACAGGTTTTGCCCTTACCCACGACCTCCTGCTTACTAGTGCAGATGTCTTAACCACTCGACCACCGAGCTTGCCGGGGTCGGCTGGCCGGTCCGAGTCAAAAAAAAAAAATACATCTTGAAAATAGTTCGCGGTACCCGCTGCTTCATTNCTTTTGACTAATTAGCACCCGTGCTTGCTTTTGACTAATTAGCACCCGTGCTTGCTTTTGACTAATTAGCACCCGTGCTTGCTTTTGACTAATTAGCACCCGTGCTTGCTTTTGACTAATTAGCACCCATGCTTGCTTTTGACTAATTAGCACCTGTGCTTGCTTTTGACTAATTAGTACCTGTGCTTGCTTTTGACTAATTAGCACCTGTACTACACTGTATTAGACTGTATTTATTCACTAGTGAGCATGAAAACATAGACTGCCAGGTGTATCTTGGTAGTCAAGCTGATTGAAAATAAATGTCAACCATTGCTAACGTATCGATTCTCCCTTTTAAGGATATTGTTTAATTGGCAATCTGCTCCGAGCGAAATTGAGCACACCTGAAGTTTGTGCTAATGCACAACTGAGCATTTTTTTGGGGGGGTGTCCCAGGGAACCTCCTTGCCTATAAACAAATATACCTTTCTCATTCGTGTCTACAGTTGAGTAATGCTAACATCTAGTTCTTAATGGATTCCGGAATGAAATCAGTGACAAGACAAAATTTTGGCACAAGTACGCCAGGGCTGACATCCCAAATATATTTGTGTGAAATATAGTAAAATAATAATGTGAGCATTTTTAAGTGCGTAAATTATTGTACTAAAAAGAAGCCAATTTGTACAGCACATTACAGTGGTATAAACTGAGAACTTGTCAGTCCTAAGCAAAATGGGCAAACAAAGGGCACCCCTGAGATCTCAGGAGGCAAACGATAGGCTTAGAACTTTGGAGTCCTTTCCCCTTTCTTCCAAGCAAAATTTACAGAAATTGGAAGGTTCTCACCGAGGTCATACACGAAAACAGTCTTAATGAGGCTGGGAAGTTCAGTGAAACGGGCGTTGACCAAGCTGTCGTCCATCAGGAGGAAGGAAGAGGCTGGGTCTGGCTCCCCTTGGCCAAAGGCTTGAGACAGGAGCTGTTGACGGCCCTGAAGAAAGAAGTGTCAGAAAGTTGAGATCATCTGCATGAGTACACACTTCGTCTGATAGGGCGTATACTCTTGCTTATCTAAGGGTAGCGCTCCTGCGGTTCGTGCAGCCTCGAGAGTACTCCTTTTGTCACGAGTAACATACTCGATTACAGTCTTTAATACAGCACGAAAAAATTTTGGAAGGTAAGCCCCACCTCTTCCGAACACCACTTTCCATGGCACAGCTTCAGCCATCTGTCATTCTTCTGCTGTTTGACGATGCTCGTCAGAAGATGACCTTTCAAGAAAAAAAGGGAAGTTGGGTCCATTACAATGAGTGTGAGTATGAGCGTGGACAAAAGTATTCGAGTACGAGTACAACAATACGAGTACCACAATTATGCAATTACAGTTGAATACATTTCCAAGAACGAGAGAATGAAATATGTATTAGTAAATATACCAGTGTGATTCAATTTTGATCTTGAATTTGATGCTGTTTCTTCAAATGTGCCAGTTAAGGATCTGAGATCAAGGACTCGTTCTGCCACTACGTGCCCGCCACTACGATCTCGCAGGTACATGTATTAAAGTGGTGGCTGTGACTGGAAATAACATCTGCGGCTCGCGACTATAGCTAGTTTCCACAGGGATGTGTGCTACTCTTAGCCGCAGCCAATTGATTTGGACAAGCTGTGCGTAGAACAGGCACTCACAGACTTCGCTCAGCCGACAATGTGCCAGGCTGTGGATTCTGCTGTTGATGCTGCTGCTGCGGTCACCTCTCGCTGCGGTCGGAGCTTCTTCCGAGCATGGCGGAACCTGGGCGCTGACCAGGTAACAGGCCGTGACCAGCCCGATGACGTCCGCCCAGTGAGCAGAACCCTGACAGAGCAAACGGAATTATATTGGAAGACTGCCAGCATGGGGCTAGAACACTCAAGTACTACTTCACTGCTCGGGCGGTTACTGGTTCGACTCTTACCCTTTACCTTTTTTTCCCCTTTCACTCAAAAATTGATTCATGTGACAAGAGCCAATTCCATTTGAATGTATGGGAAAAAATTTAAAAAAAGCCTGTAACAGGTAAAACCCTGAAACATGTACTTCATTTATTGACATAAAATAAACTAAACTTTGACAGAAGCTTGCCATAAAACTGGTGCATCAAACACGACAAAGAACCACTCACATGAAAATACCTTCTTTTACTGACACTGGCATTAGTCCCAGAATATTCTTTTCAAACGTTTTCATCTTTTCGAATGACTCTCTGCATCCTCACATTCCTAGATAATTTTTGGTATTTTTTATGGGGGGGGTGGGTGGTCTGTGCTTCGGTACAAAAGACTTTGGACGTTTTTATGATGTGTCTTACCATAGCTGCCATTTTGATGAGAAGGGTAGCTAGGTGCATGTACAGCTGTGCTTTCATCTCCCGCAGCACAGTCTGGGCGCCAGACTGCTCTGGGCAAGATGGGCTGGATTCAATATAGTCGGTTGCACGGAACAACTCTTTGTCCATCCTGATACAAGAGAATACAGTGTCTCATAAGAAAACTCTTGACATGTCTTCTGTACCACTCAGTGCTATTCAGTACACCAATTCCAGTTAACTGATTCAGTCGTACTTTTCACTATGCGCTGCAAAGAACCCTTTCGGCACAGAGAATGTAAAACGTCACTGTGTCAGCCATTTTCCCAAGGAACCAATTTCACCGAATTGCTGGGCACAAAACATTTGTCAGCTAATTCATGCATTACTCAGCAGGGAGCCAGTCACAAGAAACACAGAGCGTGACACATTTTGGCCGATAACCAGTCTTCAAAAGACCTTGGGTGGGTTGGACAGATACAATGCAGACTTGCTTACACTTTTATGAGCCTGGATGCCTGATTGACCGCGGTGTTGTGGACAGACAGCGTGATGCGGATCAATTTGTTGATGCTGACCAGCAAGTGGCCAAACGTGACGATGTGGTCTGGGGACCACTGTTCCCCCTCGTCCGCCTTGGGTAGTAGTGCCTGGAGAGAAAAAAAAATGCAAGGGTAAGCTCTCACAGGGGATAAAAATGGAGCTGGGGTGGAAATTTCCTGGAGCCAATGTTTCGCTTGCGGCATAAATCATGGCTGATATCACAAAGTGACACTTGGTGCTGCTTGAGCGCACTCCCTTTGAACACAATATACAGGATCTAATCAGGCAATTTTGAGTTTCATGAACTGTAACAGATCACTGCAAGAATCTCTTTTCTGAGTGGAAAGGTTTGTAACTGCAGCTGAAGCATCGGAGAGCATCAATTCATGAAAACCAGAATTATTCTACAATGCCTCAGTGTTCACTGAGCACACACACTGCAGGTGTCAGTTTGTGAAACCAAACTCAATTTTATTCGCAAGTCAGCCACGCTAAATTGAAAGCAAGGTTTACTTTTTGGGAACTTTAAATTACAAAATAAAGGTAGGGTCTGGTGAACAATGATCTTTGCAGGGATGCATATCTGAAACGTCAAAAATGACGTGCGGGTCATTCCATGAGGTTGGGGCACAATTTGTGACGGTGTCCTTCTAGTTACCTCCACAACTTTCACCACCTGTCATGACCTGGAGAGTAGGTCATTTACTCTGTAAAAATAACACACCTCTGTATTCAGCCTTGCAAGATGTCTAACAATATCAGTATGGAATCCACAAGCAGGGAAATAGCTGTTCATTTTTACGGAACCGATGCAACAAATGACACCATCACAAATTGTGCCCCAACCTCGTGGAATGACCCGTATAAGGTTATCAAAGAAGACACCTAATATCTTCAAATGGACAAGTTATTTCAAGAGATGTTGCCAAGCACTACTGCGCCTTCTTTGCGAATAATATGGTTTGACAAACGTTCTGTCTCTGTGTATTATGAAACAGGAAGAAATAAATGGGTTCCATTTAAATGTTTGGAAAAATAGGTCTACAAACTCATTTCAATGTTTTTCACTACACATTAAGAGTGAAAATGGCCATGGTAGGCATCCGCTTTGTAAAAATGCAAGTAAGGTTGATGCTTTCCTCAAAAAAATGTACAGTACCTGATAGAGTTGATATGACTTTTTCCACCAGGGGATCTCCTGCTCAAAGAGCCTGGCACCCTCCACCTGCGCACACAGCTGCCCTGCCTCCTTGAACTTCTCCAGCATGATCAGGGTTTGCAGCAGCTGGAGGTGGAGTGTCAAATCCTGGGGGCGGGATTTCTGCAGTGGGGGGGGGGGGTGGGTGGTTGTGGGGTCGACCACAAGGCACAAGTCAGTGAGCCAAATCATAGCTCAGGCAGTGGGCTGTTGTTGAGCTCTGCAGCCCGTGCCAAGATACTACAGATCCTACACGGCGTTTCTTCATCAAATTTAGTACAAAAGCATTCTCTGAGCATGGATGCTTACACAATTTTGCAATGAAAAATTGTTAAAAGGTAGCTGCAATAAATGGTTTTTTGATCACAAATCTGTAAAATGCACCCTTAACCCTCAGTAAACCTTATTTCCAACTGCGCTTTCACTATTTTAAGGGTATTTCAATGGTTTTTTTGTTTTATGCTAATGAGTATTTCTACATGTATATTCATGAGCAAAACTGTGATGTCATCTCAGGAAGAAGCCTCAATGTTACATTGAGGCTTCTTCCTTCAATAACATCACAGTTTCAAAGTCCTGCGTTTTTGTAGATTTTCACGGACTAAGTTTTCTCTTCTTTGCTGATTCATTGTTTTATATGCATAGCAATAACAAACCATCCATCCATCTCTCAGAAACGTAATCAGTTAGTCAATTCTGGGTTCACAGTTTGAACAGAAATACCTATGCACTGAACCATGTCTTCCCTAGATGACTTCACAGCAACAGCGCCCTCAGTTGTCCGGGAAAACATGGGTAAGTTTGGTTGTTTAAAGGTGTGCACTTTTCAATGCATTTAAGCAAATAAATGTGTGTAAGCATTTTCATACACTGAAGAAAAGTACAAAGATGCAGAAAAATTAAGTATAAGACAACTTCATTGCAGCTACACTTTAAAGCAATCGTTTTGTTTTGTTTTTCTCCAAGATTTTCCCTATGTGCACTGTACGTACGACATCAACATTTTACTGAAGGTTTTCCTGTGGAACAAAACAACTGCCCTGCAAGATGGCGACCATGCAAAGCCTCTATACGGTGCATCCTCAATGACTATCCACAAGAAGGTGCATTTCTGGCTCACATGTCAATCTGTAACTATGCAACACTCTAACGGTATATTCAAATATATGATCGAATGGAAGGTAAAAATAATTGAGCATCCAATTGTTTGGACTGACTCAGGCTTATGAGAGGAAAGAGGCAGTACGAATAAATTTTTACCACTTTCTGTAGCAGATATGTCCTCAGCTCGTTCAGTCTTCCACTCTTACGGTAGATGTGCTCCTGCTCAGAAAAAAAAAAAAGGATTCATTTTACGCCAAACTTGTGACTTGACTGGCCCAGTCAGCCCTCACCTTCCCAGATCCAACAAAAGCCACCAGAAAATTTGCAAGATTTTGCAGGATGAAGGAAGGAGGAAGCCAGTCTCTACGATACACTTGTGGGAAAATGGGTGGATTTTCGGGGCTCAAAAATCACATTTTGCCCACGTTAATTTTTGAGGGAGGTGTTTATAGCATCCGTTGGATTGGTTTTCATTGAAAATTCAGTTATCAGCAAAATATCTGTGTTGGAGACTTTCCTCGTCAATTTTAACCAGCCTATTATTGGATAACTGATGTCTCGTAAAAGTTAAAGGACAAAAAGAAACCACTGGGTTAACTGACAAGCCATGGCTTCTCGGAGGATTTGGGAGGGTTTCTCGTAAAAATGAACCGGAAGTCAGGTTTGATTTATTCAAATAAGCTGTGTACTGACTAACTTAAGAAAGTGCGAAAAAAAAGTCAGAGGTACCATCCAATGTGGATGATCTGGTGATGCCTTCTGTTACATGTAAGTTGAAACTGACAAGGAACAGACAAGCCATAGGCAA